ACCACCTGTGCCCTTCACTGGAGCGGATCTCGTGAGGTCCGTCAATAAGAAAGTCCGACAAAACTACATACGCCGAAGGTTGGTAGTTGATGAAGAAAGTATTCCTTTTCCTCAAAGGTTCAAAATTCATGAACTTTTTTTTATACAACTTTTTGGAACAAAAGAAACGGAACGTTTGTACTTGTCTTCTGTACATGACAATTTAACAAATTTTAATTCTTTTATCTAGAGTAAGTTATATACTTGTTCTTATATTTATATTTGGCTTTGTCTAAGAAGGAAATATACGTAAGTGTCCTTTCCCGATTTTGACGAGTTATGCTTTATAATATAAATAAAAATAAGGGATATGTATCTTTTTATAAGTATTCTTAGAGTGGGAAACGCTTCTTTGGAAAGGATAATTTTTATCTAAATTTTATCAAAATTAGAACGAAACATTTGTGTACGTTTCCTTGTAATTGAAGTGAACGTAACTCAAAACGCGTTAAAGTTATTAAGTTACGCCGTTTCAGGTTTCAATACAAAAAAATATGCAGAAATAGAGTGTTTCATTCATGTTCCATTAGGTTACTGACCACGTACCGCGCTTTGGAGCGCCTTTCGCAGAGTGAATTTAATCTAGATCAGCTAGAAGCGGCGGCTACCGCGGCACAGAGCTCTCATGGTACCACTTTGCTGGTGCCCGGAACGGCCGCCGGAGTTCCTGGTGCTTCCTTGATTGGGCGGAAGGAGCGAAATCATGCGTTGACTATACGGGACGTTGAGAGAGAACGTGGAAATCAGCTGTCCAAGTATGAGAGGAATATGATGATCTTTAATTGGCTCCACACTTTGGACGACAGTGCGGTCGTAGATAGCGTCGAATAAGGGACAAGGAAATTTCTCCAATATCACCCGCAACTCCGACAACGTACGACCTATCGTGCCTAAGTCTCTTTCTCTTCGATATTCCTTTATCGAGGACGCTTCGTTGACACTATATTGCCGCATCTCGGAGAATAATATGTAAGACTTCTTAACTGTTAACTATATTGAGTTATGACGTCTACAAAAAATATAAATCTTTCTCTTGCACTATTCATCGATATAAATTAGTTTTTTCAAATGCCCCATTTTCATTCGATAAAATAAAAAAAAATGTATAAAAACTCTCCACTTAATCCTTCATAAATTTCCACTAATAATGCCAGGTATATTCAGGTTAATCTCTGTTTGCTGAAATAAAAAATTAGATGTTATTTATTTTATCCTTCTATCGCGGTTTAGATCTTATGGGATGCATTTTACACAATTAAAAAGACGAGTTGACATTCAACAAAAATAAAGTACATCAGGCGAAAATTAATAAATGATTATGTAATTTAATCTATACGTACCCTACATTAATGAACGTTATCCTATTTTAACAAAAATAGATCTCATTATTAAGATTAGGATTTGTGACCATCTATTCATAAATTGAAAAGAGAATCTGACATTTAAGCTTATTTTATTGAATACAAATGGTAGCATGTGTAAAAAGACTTAATTTGTTCTGATGTACATTGTGCGAGAATAATCGCTTCTAAATGTGATGTATAGTGTGATTTCATATCATAAGCGCGATCTTTCGCATCTGATGTCATAATCCAATATAGTTGCAATAATGAGCCAGAAGCTATGAACTAAAGTAACTATCGCAAGACATCCGTCCCTCCTCGTCCAGTGACACCGATTGATGTCGCTTTAACGAGTGTATCCGAAGCATTTCGCATAAAGCGAAAATCCGTTTAATTGGCTACAAAAAGCATATATGCATGCAAAATATGGGCCTTATAGCGAATTCGGTCGCTTGATTATTCCATACTGATGCGCACTAAGGGCATCTAAAAATCTAACAAAGAAACATACATAAATATGTGATAATATAGATCAAAATATAAGAGATATGCACTCTTTCATAGGTACTCTTACGCATATTAAAAGGATGTAACATTCCCTTAAAAAAGATCGATTTTTATGTTTTTAAGTGTATATTATTGAAGCAGTAAATGTAAAAAGATGTTTCAAAACAAAAGTTTTGTAATTTTAAAAGCACTTTTTTAAAGATTCAAATTTTTTGAAAATATTATCTCTCTCAATGAAAACTGAAAAATTGTTATATTTCTTAACCCATGCAACACAGAAGTTTGATGCAACATTGCAATATTATTGGAACAATCTTTGCTATGGGAAAATACTCCATCGTTATCGTTTTTAGAAATTAAAAAAATGTTTAGACGAAATTAAAGCTTATTTAATGATAAATTCAACTATATATAAAAAGTTCTAAAATTTTCAGAAATGAAAGTGAGTGATGAGACACTTTATGTGTTTTTTTCGTAAGTACAAAAATATAATGTAAATGTGTTTTGGCTGATAAAATATCCAATATATCATTGTATCATTTAGCAGAAATTATTTCTATATATTGGATATTTCATTGGTTAAAGTGCTTACGTTCTGCCGTTGCACTGTATATCTCAAATACAACAGCCTTTATAGTGTGCATTAATGTGGAGTAGTGAAGGCAACTAAATTGGTTATTAGATACAAATTTAAAAAATCGACTTGGAAATATCCCTAAGTATAATACGCGGAGTATACGCTTGTACGTATACTTTTCGCATTTTATTGATCAGCTGATTATAAAAATCATTTATTCAGATTTTGTCCAATAATTTATTGATTAAATTAAAGAAATAATTTTTAAGATTAAAAATATTTTTACAGTAACATGGTTACAATATTTCTGTATGGGATTTTATGAACTTTTTTCGTAGAACTCCTTTACAAATCAGTATTCGCAAATTCAGTTTGCCAAAAGATATTTAATAGTATAAACTTGGACACTAATTTTAGTAAATATTTAATATATAATTTTAATAATCAATAATTTAATAGTTATAATTAAATTCGTAGTTTGCATTGAAAAACAACATAGAAATGAGAATGTATACATCCTGTGTTAAGTACTTAGACACATATCGATAAGAAATTTTTAATCAACGGAACGTAAATGTATCGAGAAATACCAAACTGTTGATTAGAATGACAAAATTTTAACAATAATTGTAGACTGCGAACTCTACGTTTTACATTTCCAATTTGCAATTAGCATGGACGATAACCAAAATCGGAAACGATATCGTAAAGATTAACGATGCGAGACGCAATCCAGACTCCAGAGAGTTCTACTTGTGAAATATAAACGATGATACGCATGGTTTAGCGTATCTACTAGGATTTTTGTGATTGTATATTCAATATGGAGAATTAAAGTCGTCTGAAATTTCGTTAATTCTAAACGATATATGAAAAACTTGTTGCCAGGATAAAATGTTATTCGGAGTACATGCCTATAAAAATATTTAATTCTATGCGTGTTCCTTATGAAAGTCTTAATTGTTCAGTGTAAACAGAAAATCCGGAACAATTATACTTCCTGCCTGACTAATGATAGATCACATCAGTATTATGCGTTGCGACCAGAGAGATACCAAAGTGTTTTTGGAATAGTAAATGGATGTGTGATCACAATTAATGTGCTTTTATGTATATTAAATGTTTTCCCTCTTCCAAATGTAACATTTGCTGACATCGCGATATTATCTGATGCAGAGTAATGAAACAAATATAAGATTTATTAAATATTCTATATCTATATATGTATAGACCTTGTTTTTGTAATTAAATATAAGACATACGGAAGCAAGAAAAAAGTAGGTAAGGAAATTGTGACTGTTGGAGAAAAGAAGAAAAGAATTCAAGGATTTGAACTTTATGGTATAATTTTTTATCAAATACCTAGAATGTGAAAAATCATATTACTGGCAAACATTAGCTATATCTGTTATTTTTTATTAATTTTTAAGAATAGAATTCTTACAAGTTCAATTATTATTATAATGGAAAACAACTATAATCCATTAATTAAAAAAAAAAACAATTTAGGAAATTCGTTTTCCATTTGAGCTACGTTTATTTTTATTAATAGAGTAGACAAAGGTAGTTACAAAGATGATCAATTATAGAAATTTAAATAATCAGTTTCAATAAAATATACTTTCTAAGTACAGTAAAAATTTAGCAAAAAAGCAAATTAATTTGTATAAATAATCAGTTTTTAGAACACAATTGTTAACATATACTGCCCAAGCTTTCAATATGTTGATTAAGCAAATGTTTCTTATATTGGAGCCCACTTTTAACAATCTATAATTTGCAATGGAATTCTGTTTATAATTTTACACATATCTTACAATACATTGAACTTTTAAAGAATTATAATACACATATATAGAAAATACATATTCAAACACACGCGCATACACACACACAAAAATGTATAGTAAATAAGATTAAAATATAATATTCTGTCCTGCGTTCTAATACGAGTTATATGTTGTCTATAATTGTGGGTTTACAAAAATATATTTTTATTGAATGTGTGTGTGTGTGTGTAACCAAATGCATACAGCATTAGATATGCTTACATAAAGCATTAGATATCTTTAATCTTATTTATCTAATAGGATTGGCAGGATAGCAAGTTTCATTATCTTTAATATAAATTAGATACAGTCATATCCAGAAATGTGATTCATACACACACGTGAAAAAGAAAAATTTAAATTTCTACAAATTTTAACTTTTTTTTATAAAAGGAATAATTTTATTTCAAAAACTACATTTAAATAAATGTCTGCCTTTTTTATAATTTTTCAAGAAAACATCCTTTCCTAAATGAGATTATTTTGGATCTATAAAAAATCTTACTTTTATTTACAACTTTCTTTTGTTCAAAATAATCTCAGAAATAATCGTTTAAAATAAAATATTTCTCTATGCATATGAATGCATGCATATTCATGTGATAATATTATTCTTTGGTTGTTTAAATCCAAATTTCAAGATAATGACAGTTTAATAAACGAAATAAGTGGATAAGAAAGTATTTCATTGGTGAAAACGCTTTAATGAACAAGTGGAATTATAAAAAATTAGTGATGCAATTGATACTAAAAAATTACAATAAGATTTTCAGATGTATACTTTATAGCAGACCTTGTCTTTTGAGATCTTCATATGTTTTACGATTGACTACATTGCCAAGCGAATCTTCAAATTCTTCTTCCTGCTCTGGTTGCCAACGTTCGGCTTGTTTCTGCGCTTTCAGTTTTTCCCACAGAGCAAGAGCGTCTTCAATCTGAGTGACATTAGCAAAGTGCGCTGTATTCGGAATGCCAAGACAACGCATGCCATGTGCATGTCTCCATTCGGCAAAATGTCTTTGGAATGCTTTTGGACCTTTATACGTAAAGTTTCCACAAATCTCACAGTTGTAACTGATATTTAAGCCATGCAGCTTGTACAACCAGTAAGGTATAGGCTTTCCGTCCCAACCTAATGGTAAATTCTTTGGGTTGTATGGAACCTCGTTGTCGTCTTCTTCTTCTGATTCGCTTGCACTTGCTTCTGCATCAGAATCTCCCCTTTCACCCTCGGTTCTCGCTTGTTTCCTTTGTACGTTTTCTTTCGTACCCACTCGTTGACTGGATACTAATTCAGCGAGTTTATATACATGAGCCTCGAATCGTGCAATTTCCTTTTGTTTCTCGGAATCTTTGCCTTTAGCTGATTTTCCCTTTCTATTCTTGGCTAATAGGTTGGGATCTAAGGAGGCTTCACCTTTTGTGCTGAAAAGTCTTTGCGCCCGTTCCTCCAGAGTACCTCCACACTTGAGTCCTAGCGCCATCAAAGCTGATTTTAATCTATCCAAACCAAGAGACGCTAGTTCTTCCCAAGATGAAAATGCAGACAGTTCCAAGTGTGCTCCAACATGAGCCAGAGCACTTCCAGTTTCTTTAGGCCAACCAGGAAAGCTATTCTTCTCCCACTGAATTTGAAAATCCTTATTAGCTTCTTCGATCTCTGTACTTATATCGAGCAGAGGTCTGACTCTGTTCAGATAATCTGTCAGATACCCTAAGAGGGATTCGACGTATCTCTGATACTCTGCATTCTTTCTTTCTCTAGGAATGTCGAATAAGTGATCAAAAGTCGACAAGTAAGTTATATAATCTATCTTTTCTATCCCTTTAAGATTAATATATTTTTGATAACACTCGTGAAGATCGAGGTATTTTCCATAACCTTCCTCATCTGTAAACTCGACGAGATTGGACAATTCTTCGGTTGGGTTTTCTCTCATCTTAGCCAATTCCTCGAATTCAACGGACATAGGAACACTGATCTCATTAGGATGTCGTCGATAGAATTCTTTTATGGACTTCAAACGTGAGTAAAATTCTGAGAATTCATTTGGACCGGAGAGTGCTTGAACCTAAAACGATAAACGAGGAGCTAGAACTTATTTTTTAACTTATGAATCGACAGTCCTTAGAAAGGTTAGAAATCATTAAAATTAAAGGTTTTAATTTTCTTCTATATATAAACTGTAATATTTAAAATCTTAAACCAACGAACCTCTTCTTTTCTCTGTCCATCCTTATCTTCATACAAATCTTGCAAATGCATTGTACTATCCATAAACTGATCCAGCAACATCTTCAAACGATGCTCCGAATTGATGTTCTCGCGATGTCCCGCCTTTTTATGCAACATCTCTTTCACCATCGCGTCCATCAATCGCTCTCTTTCTTCATGATATCGTCGTTGTTGCTCCAATATTGTTTCCATTTTTACTTTTAAATTCAATCTACTTTGATCGACTCAAAACACTCAAGAGCACGATAAAATCAAGCCGGATTCTTTCAACAGTAGTGCGACTGCGACTCGAATAGAACATCCATGTTGAAAGTGTTTCGTCGATGATAGCGACATCTGATCAGATGATTTTCAAAATATGAACTATATGATGTTACTTACTGGGCAATACAGATTCTTATTTGTATGAATTTATTATATCAATTATTATTATACACATATATAAATTTTATTACACATATAAAAGAAACACAATTAAGAAATATATTAAACAAAGAATTTTTTAAGACTGTAAATATGAATATCGAGTCCTCTTTTTCAAAGTAAAAAAAGAAATAATTGTTAATATGGCTCAATTAGAATGGGGGGATCCCGTTTGCCTACAAATCGATTGCCTACAGTACCGTTTGCCTACATCCCATTTGCCTACAAATCGATTGCCTACATGTTCTGTTGCCTACAGATCGATTGCCTACATGTATTATTGCCTACAGTTCGATTGCCTACATGTACTATTGCCTACATGTACTTTTGCCTACATGCATTATTGCCTACAGCTCGATTGCCTACATGTACTATTGCCTACATGCATTATTGCCTACAGCTCGATTGCCTACAAGCACTTTTGCGCACAAATAAAAATTTAGGTAAAGGTATAGAATACCCGTCTCACCTCCGATTTTGATGAAATTAGGCTTATTCGACGCGTTTTTGCACGAAATGAACGAATGTGGCAGAAAAAAGTGCCGCTCTGGCCTCTGAATCGAGATATTTAGCGTTAAAGTTCACGGCCGTTCAGGTTAGGAAATCTGTCATACCGACTCGATATAAG